GCTGATCCTTCCCAACAGGAATAAAGTTGGTTCTTTCTCTGTCTTTCTCTCTGTCTATCTCTGTCTGTCTCTCTTTCTCTGTCTCTATCTCTCTCATCAGCCACAGATTAGGGATTAGGCATGCCAAGCCAACTGGCTATACAGGGAACTAAAAAATCATTACTGGGGGCCTTCCCAGTGGTGCAGTGGTTGAACGCTGGGCTGCGAGGCTGCCCACAGCCTTTGCAGCGATGGTTCGATCCCCGGCCACGGGGCGAGGGTCCCACATGGCGCACAGCGGACCTCTCCTGCTGTGCCCACTGTTCCCCTCAGCGGTGTCCTCTGTCTGTCTGCCTGTTCTGCTCCCTGCTTTGGCTCTGGTGAGTTCTCTCACCCTTCCACACTTCTGGCTATACCCAGTGCTTGTATAAAGAAATCAATAAATCTTAAAAACAAAACAAAACAAAACAAAACAAAAAAACCCCAAACCATTACTGGAATCAAAGGGAAATAATTATACCCCTTAACTCAGGACTCCTTACATAACTAAAGTCCACATTCATGCTTCTTATTGAAATAAACAGTACACTTAACATGGAAGTGTAAGGCACTGAACTGCTTCTATTAAGTATTTCTGTATGGGGCAAGATATAAGGTGCAAATGCAGATTGCACCAGCTCTGCGACCTGCCTGCTGATGATGCCTAAAGTCTAGATCAACTTCATCTGAGAAATTGGAAGTACACGTATCATGATGTATTGCTCGGTTACCAGTCTTGGTAACAATAGCCACAGAAGTCAGAAACTTCCCATGGTTTGTCACCAGTCCACTGAGGTGTTACCTGTGGGTACATGTGTGCTGCGGGATATTATTCCTCTCAGCACTTAGGAAGGCAGGGAAGGCCTGAGAAGCAGCAGCTCCCAAGCAACCTTGTCTGGGTTCTTTGGGGGCAGTCCAACTTGAGCAAGCTGCTCTGAGGTCCCATGGGTAGCAAGTAGGAAGAGAACACTGAGCACTTAAGGCTCCAGGTTGCCATGCTGAGTGGAGTCAGGGTGCTCTACTACCCCGAGTCTTTGTGGCTGGTGGAAGAGTTTACTGCTGCTGCCTGTTGTGGGCAAGGACCCAGGGAGCTCTGGGAGAATTTGTGCTTTTTGTGCCCAGGGATACTTAAGAGGTCGGGGAGGTCGTATAGGGTTCCTTGTGGGCTTATCTCCAGCAGTGGGCTAATTTATGTATTCTTTTTCTATTCATGCTCTAACACATTACCACAAAGTTAGTGGCTTAAAGTAACACAGATTTATTATCTTACAGTTCTAGAAATCAGAAGTCTGAGATGGGTTCCACTGGGCCAATATCAAGATGTGGCATTCCTTCTGTAGGCTGTAGGGGAGAATCTGCTTCCTAAGCTTCTCTGGCATCCAGAGGCCGTCTGCATTCTTTTTTTTTTTTATGAATTATTTTATTTTATGTAATTCTTACATCATTTTTCATTTTTGCATAATGTATGCATTTTAATTTTGGTTATATTCCCCATACAATTCCCATCCCCTTTTTCTGACACTAATCCCTCTTCTTCTCCCCCCGCTCCCCACTGTAGTGTGTCTCTGGTCTATAGTTGCTTGTCGATTTCGATTTTTACTTTATTGCAATCAGTCTTTTTCCTGGTCCCTTATTTAGGTTTTCTAAGTTCCTGCTATGAGTGAGACCATCTGGCATTTTTCTTTTTCTTTCTGACTTATTTTGCTGAGCATGATCCCTTCCAGCTCCATCCATGTTGCTGCAAATTGCATGAGTTTATGTTTTTTGATTGCTGAGTAATATTCCGTTGTGTATATGTACCACGTCTTCTTATCCAGTCATCTATTTTTGGGCATTTGGGTTGTTTTCATAGCTTAGCTATTGTAAATAGTGCTGCTATAAACATAAGGGTGCAGGTGCCCTTGTAAATTGATGTTTCTGTGTCCTTTGGGTAAATACCTATGAGTGGAATTGCTGGATCATATGGAAGCTCCATCTTTAGCAGGCTGAGGAATCTCCACACAGCTTTCCGTAGTGGTTGAACCATTTTGCACTCCCACCAGCAGTGCAGGAGAGTTCCTTTTTCTCCACATCCTTGCCAACATTTGTAATTGCTAGTTTTTTTTAATATGTGCCATTATCTCTGGTGTTAGATGGTATCTCATTGTAGTTTTTTTTTTTTTTTTTTTTTAAACTTTTTTTTTTTTTTTTAATAGAGACATGTTTATTTATTTATTTGTCTGTTTTGTTTTTGTTTATACAAGCACTGGGTACAGTCAGAAGCGCAGGAGGGTGAGAGAATTCACCAGAGCCAGAGCGGGGAGCAGAGCAGGCAGAAGGACCCAAGTACGCTGCTGAGGGGAGCAGCGGGCGGCAGGAGAGGTCTGCGTGCTATGTGGGACCCTCCTCAGGTGGCCGGGGAGCAGCCGGGGATCGAACCGGCGCCGCAGAGGTCGCCGGCAGCTTCGCAACCCAGCGCTCAACCGCTGTGCCACCAGGGAGGCCCCTCATTGTAGTTTTGATTTGCATTTCCCTGATTACAAGTGATATTGAACATTTTTTCATATACTTGTTGGAGGCTGTCTGCTTGCTTTTTTTTTTTTTTTTAGTGGGACCCTCGCCGGTGGCTGGGGAACGAACCAGCACTCTAGAGGCTGTGGGCAGCCTCGCAGCCTAGCGCTCAACCACTGCGCCACCGGGGGAGGCCCTGCATTCTTTATCTCATCACCGTTCTTCCATCTTCATAGTCAACAGCGTAGCACCTTTGAGCCTCACACTCAACTGTCTTCACTTTCTGGCATTACATCTTCTCTCTGACTCTCCTGCTTCCCATGTTTCCCTACAAGGACCCTTGGGATTACTGGGAGTATGCACAGATAATAAAACCACCCTTCTATCTCAGTACCCTGAACACAACCACATTTTCAAATGCCCTTTTTCCAAACGAAGTTTCATGTTTCCAGGTGCTGGGGCTGCAACACAGACATCTCTGGGGGCCAGGGTTCAGCCAGTGTCCAGGTCAGGCTGCTCCATCTGTTTTGTGGGTGATTGGCCCTGCAGGATGCTTGGCATGTCCTCCCACTCAGTGGGATCATTATTTTGAATTACTTCCTGTGAAAAATTCATTGGATTAAAAATCTGTTCCCATCATTACCATTTCACTGTTATATTGGCCAGTGAAAAGCAATGAGTGGATTTTTTTAAAATACAGTTTTCACTATTGTGACTTTTTCAGTGGTTATAAATAAAAGTGGTTTTAAATTTTGTTTACTAACTATGTGTGAACAACTTTTCTCATGGATGTGATTTGACAGGTTATATTAAAATCTCTTGATCAGGAATTGCGTAGTCATTTCAGTCTTAAAATCTGACATACAAAAGTTAGGTTTGTTACCTGCAGGTAGTGATCTCAAGATTTTCGTTGAAAAATATAAAAAGAATTTTTGGATGTGTTATTTTAGGCTGATACTTAGCATCTTTTCTCTAATAGTTTATATTTTTATCATAATTATATATAAAATAAAGAAAATATGAAGTTTTATACCAATCTGCAAAGCACTATTTCCAAATTTCCCCCCAGCATGCCATACTGTATATATAGTATAATTTTCTATGTATGGATAATGTGAACAAAAGTTGGGAAGAATGAATATGAGTGACTCCATCCTTTGTGATTTTGTGGGACCAACTCAAGCAGTTTTAAAGGAAAACTTACAAAATGATAGACAGTTCCAATATAAGATGAATTGTGATGTTTAGAACACATAATAAATCCCTTACTTTGGTCGTAAAGAAAGAAGTATATAGCTTTTACTCACAAAATATCAGCCTCTTCCCTATCCTTACCCAGGAAAGTTGAACAAACTCGTAGAGCCTGTCATATAAAGAGGTGCCTGCTAATCAGCCTTCTGTGGTGCTCCATGTCTTGGGCTTTCCAAATCAGTTTTTGAAAGTTTCTTTAGATTTATCTTGATTGTAAATAAATAGATTAATTTCCAAGGGGGTTGAGTCAAAGTAGCTGAAGAAATAATTATTTTAGTAAGGTTTGCAGCAGACACATTAATTTCTATTAAGAAATGACCTGTCAGGCCACATCCTCGAAGGTTCCCACCATTTCTATCACTCACAGATTTGGAGGCAGGGATGGGGGTGCAGTGAGGGTTTCTTTGCTGTCAAGCAAAGAAGGAGAGACCAGGAACAGGGTGTGGAGAGGTGGTAGGGAGTGGGTTCGGGCCTTCCTCTGTTCTAGGCGGCTGTCCTCAACCTGGCCTGTTCCTTATCCTTGCCTCTCTTCTCCAGCCTGCTATCCCCCACCCCCCCCATCTCCAGGACCTGGAAAGGGGAGCTTCAGGCAGAACTTTTGATCCCTCTCCCACTGCTGCTGACTGCTATCTGGTAGTGGCAAAGGCAAAACACTATCTGAGTAGTCTTTCCATAACTAAGTGGGTGCAGATTTATTTTTGTTTTCAATTCATTTTCTTCACTGACCTGGGTCTGTGATGCTGATGACATACACAATAACTGCAGCTCTTTCATTCCCTCCTGAGAGCCAGAGAAGTAGACCTCTAGGCAGGCATATCTAAATGTTTATTATACAGTAAGCAATCAACTCATATTTATTGACTGAGTGAATGAAGAAATGAGTTTTCTGGAACATATTAGATCACATATTAACTCTTTCGAGACATTAAACGGAAACTTAAATAAGAGAAAAATGATCTGTCTCTTACATATGCAAGAACAGTTCCAGACACATCATTTTCCAATGCCAAGGGCAGCAGACAATGATAGCTAGAACACAGGAGCCACTGACTGGTGCCTGCCCTGAGCTTCTCTTACCACATGAGGGGCCGGGAGTCATGGGGCAGGGCAGCGCAGCAGAGACCTAGCGCTACGTAATTATCTCAGCAATCCCCTGTGTGTTCAGACTAAAGTTATTATCATCTGTGACAAATATTTACTAAGCTTCACTCTGCATTTGGTTTCTAGGTATAATGAATGAGGTGGCAGAAGGTTTTAGGTCAAAAGGCCTAAAATCCATTTAACGCCTGGATGGACATCAGAATTAGGTGACCAATGAATCATGTGAAAGTCAAGGTAAGAAATGGTCTCTTGTCGAAGTGAATATAAGAACTGAGATGCCAGTCTTGGATCATTTCTTCCACTTTAGAGTTCCCGCATTTCAGGGGTTTTGTGAATGCTGCCTGGTAAATGCTAGTCAATTTGTTGTATTGAGGATTTTGATATTATATAAATGGTTCTCTAAAAACATGCGAAACAAGTTATAAATGTAGGCAGCATGTAGAGATGTTTGCATTTGCAGGTTGGGAGGGAATTTAGAGGACTACAGACAAATGTGCCTGAGCAGCCCCTTTACAGGGGCACGAGGGGCTGCCACCTGCTCACGCCCCCATGGACTGAGTTGTCTGTCCTCTGTCCCTGGTGCCTCTGTGTTCCCTAAGTGTGTCCACATCTGGGATACATTTCACAGCTTTAGCTTGGGCATAACTTAACAAAAGCAAAAAGGATGAGGCTTGGCATTAATTTGCCAAAGGACGAGTGCCTATTGTCAGGCTTTCTAGAACTTTTGCATCTTGGGGGCAGTGGGAAGAAGGGGGATGGGTGGCTGTGCAATACTGGCTGCCCTGTGTTTTCTTATCTGGGAATGAAGGGGTTGAACTAGTCAGCCTGAGCTCAATTCCCCCTTTCTTCCTCACCCTTGGCTATTATTTCCCATTTAGTCATTCAATGAACATTATGTACCTTTGGGTGTTACGTAGAGCACCGTGGGCAAGATAGTCCCTGTTTCTGCCCCCGCACCCCCAAAGGTGACCAACAGATAGGAGGAGGGATTCAAATAAGCAGATGGTTACAGTCTGGGGGAAAGTATCATGCAGGCTGAGATCTGAAAGACGGTGGTCAATGCTGCATCTCGTGTGGGGACTTGAGGAGGTTGGAAAGAGGAGCATTTCAGCAGAGGCCTGGAAGTGAGGGGCCTGTTTTGTCAGGGACATAAGGTCCTATTTGCTAATCTACACCCAGGAAGGGGTGTAGTGGAAGGCAGGAAAAAGAGTTCAGGAGCAAGCAGGGGAGTGAACATGGTTTTTTTCCTTTTAAAATTTGAACCCTCACAATTTATATAGATTTTCTCTGGCACGGAGATATGGGGATTCAAAAGATCAAATACTACTTCCCGAGCTGAGCACTCACAGGCATGCAGGAGGGGCGACAGCAGAGCTGCGCTCCAGTGCTCGTGGCATCCGTGGCATCCGAGTCTCCTGAGGGCTTGTTCAGCAGAGACTGATGGGCCCTCTTCTAAAGCTCCTGTTTCTTGGGGCCAAGCCCAAGAATTTGCATTTCCAGCTAGTTCGTAGGGGTGCTGATGCTGCTGATGGGTGGACCATGCTTTGAGACCCCTGCTCTACACCTCACTACCCAGCATGTAGTGCCAGAGCCAGAGGCAAGAGCATCACTTGGGGTGGGAGCTTGTTAGAAATGCAGATTCTTGGGTCTCAACCTACAGCCACCGAAGCAGAAGTTGTATTTCTAAGAAGACCTCTGGGTGGTCATACACACAAGGCAGCTGGACAGTCCTCTCTAGCTGTGCAGAGCCTTTAGCACCACACTTTGTTTTTTTTTTTTTATTAAATAATAAATTTTATTTTTATATTCCCCCATACAACTGCACATGCCCCAATCTGACCCCAATCCCTCCCCTCCCGGCCCCCACCCCCCAAAAAGTGTCTCTGGTTCATAGTTTTTTGTTGATTTTGATTTTCACTTTCTTATAGTTATACTTTTTCCTGATCCCTTATTTAAGTTTTCTAGATTCCTGCTATGAGTGAGACCATCTGGTATTTTTCTTTTTCTTTTTGGCTTATTTCGCTGAGCATGATCCCTTCCAGCGCCATCCATGTTGCTGCAAATTGCATGTGTTTATCTTTTTTGAATGCTGAGTAATATTCCATGGTGTATATGTACCACATCTTCTTGATCCAGTCATCTATTTTTGGGCATTTGGGCTGTTTCCAAAGCTTAGCTATTGTAGATAGTGCTGCTATAAACATAGGGGTGCAGGTGTTCTTTGGAATGGATGTTTCTGTGTCCTTTGGGTAAATACCTAGGAGTGGAATTGCTGGATCATATGGAAGCTCTATGTTTAGTAGGTCCAGAAATCTCCACACAGCTCTCCATAGTGGTTGGACCAGTTTGCATTCCCACCAACAGTGCAGGAGAGTTCCTTTTTCTCCACAAACATTTGTTGTTGCTAGTTTTTTTAATATGTGCCATTCTCACTGGTGTAAGATGGTATCTCATGGTAGTTTTGATTTGCATTTCCCTGATGACAAGTGATGTTGAACATTTTTTCATATGTCTGTTGGCCATTTGCATTTCCTCTTCAGAGAAGTTTCTTTTCAGCTCTTCTGCCCATTTTTTGACTGGAGTATTTTCTTTGTTGTTGTTGAGTTTCATCAGCTCTTTGCAGATTTTTGTGATCAGTCCTTTATCATTAGTGTTGGGTGCAAAAATGTTCTCCCAGTTGGTGGGGTTTCTCTTTGTTTTTGTTATTGTCTCTTTTGCTGTGCAGAAGCTCTTTAATTTGATGTAGTCCCAGCTGTTTATCTTTGCCTTCACTATTACTGCTTTGGGTGATGTAGCACCATACTTTGAATCCCACATAAGCACAAAGCCATTTGTGAGCTTCCTGCCAGACCCAGGTCCTGGAATGCTGAGGCAGGACAATGCCCTCTCTGTGGCCTTGGGGGCAGGGTTAGGAAGAAGGTCCCACCCATGACTGGGGAGACCGTACCATAGGATCTGAGTGACCTGCAGCAGGGAGTCTTTCTGTCATTACACACATTCCTGCAGCCCATGTGGAGCCACCTTCCCAGTGGTGCTGCTGAGTTACATCCTCCTTATTGCACAGAGGCAGAGGACTGCACCCCATTCTGGACAGAGTCCCCTACAGCATCAGGCTGGAGACTCTATCTGCAGGTCCCCTACCTCTGTCAGGTCTCTCAGAAATGTGCAGTCTTGATCCAAATATAGAAAGAATTTTATAAATATCAATAAGAAGACAACCCAATAAAATGATGGGCAAAAGATCTGAACATGTCACAGGAGATATATGAAATGCCAATAAATACATAATAATATGCTCAACATCATTAGCCAGTAAGCAAATGCAAAACAGACCATAATGGAATAGCACTGCACCACACCTGAACAGAGAAAATCCAAATAAAATAACAGCAATAAGCCACTGGCCATACCAGCATTGGCAAGCGTGTGGGGCAGATGAAACTCAAGCCCTGCTGGCAGCAGTGTGAATGCCACACAATCACTTTCAAAAATAGTTTGGCAGATTTGTAAGAAGTGAATCATGCACCTAGCACGTGACATAGTCCTTTCACTCCTAAGTACCCAAGGACACAAAAACATATGTCTACACAGACAGGTACACAACTGTTCATATCAGCTTCATTTGTAACAGCTCTGAAAATAATTATCAACCAACAGGAGCAAGTGGGTCTGTTGTTACTGACCGGGTTAAACCCACAGCAGAGCAAGGCGGTTTCCCAGTCCTTTATTTGTCAGGTTCTGATTTCACAGGCAGAGAAAGAGAGCAAGACACATGAAAGAATTATTAAATGGACCAAGAGACATGTGCCAGAATTGGGAAAAGGAATCGGCCACTGGTGGCAGATACTGTGAGGAACACAGAGGATTTGTGCAGGGCTGATGGCTGGGGCTCAGGCCTGCTCCTCTGTAGTACGGCCATCACAGGCGATCCTGGGTATGCTTCCTGTGTCTTAGTTCTGTTAGTCTCTGTATTTCTTACTCACCTCTCTGTGGCTCCCCCACGAGTTCACCATGTTTCATTCACACACAGGTTGTCATAATTTCAGAATGTTCTACTCTCGCCCCTGCCTCTGTGACAATGCATAGGTTGATCTCCCTGACTGGGGTGCCCTCCCCCACTTCCCAGACTCCCACTCACCTCCCTATCTCTATCCTCATAGATAAGTTGCGCCTTCTTTTGAATTTTTATAAAACTTTGCCTTGTCTCTATACAACTACATTTTCCTTTATCTCTCACGCAATTTTGTGCACCGCCACGTCACAGCATGTGGATCCTCACGTGGGAGAAGAAATGAGGCTCAGAGCGGGGGTGGTGAGGGGTGAGGCCCCAGGATGTAGGTCATGGAGAGACTTGAACTTTAGCCTGTAGATGACAGGTACTCAGGAAATTTAGTCAGTAGGTGTGTCGTGGGGTAGAACTGCACCGCTCTGACTTTGGTGTGGAGAATGGTTGGAAGAGGCAAGCCCGCAGCAGGGAGGTTGTCTTAATAGTCAAATGAGAAAAAAAAAAGGGCTAAGACAGCCTGAACTAAGGCAGGGACAGAGGGACTGGAGCAGAAGGACAAATCAGAGGGAGATTTAAAAAGAAGAATCAACATATCCTGGTGACTGTCTGGAGCGGGGAGAAAGGAGGAAGTGGGTAGGGAGGGAGGAGAGAGAAAAGTGATCAGAGATGAGATGAAGCCAGAATAGCTGCTGGAGCGTCCAGGGGATAGTGTCTGCAGTTGAGATGAGGAGCACGGAAGGAGGAGAAGCAGGTCTGCGGGGAAGACAAGTTCTGCTTTGGGATATACTGGGGATGAAATGCCTATGGCACATCTAAGTGGCAGGTGCCTTGGCAGTCAGGAATATGGAACTGAAGATCAGGAGAGGGCGCTGAGCAGGTAGATGTTTCGGAAAGGAGTCTTGGAAGAGGAAACATTCGGATACTTGAATGAGATCACAGAGCAAGCCAAGCCAGTATTTCACACCGGTAGAGGGCCATTCTCCAGGCCACTTTTCCTAATAGCTATAAAGCGATGGGAAGGAGCCACAGCTGGGGAAAGATGCTCACTGACAGGTAAAGGCATCCTCTTGTCCTGTGGGTCTGAGGGCAGCAATCTGCCCCTCTGTGAACTCCGGTGAGGCTGCTGGTTCTGCTGTTGAATGTGCTGGAGACTGCAATTCCCTAGCCTTCAGCTAAGCATCTTCTTCCTGTCTGACTCCTCTGACTCCAGGTCTTCCCCAGGGTTTGG